GGAGGGGGAAGCACAAAAAAAACGCAAACTGTAGGCTTACAATGTTAGGAAACTGTGTTTTCTCTACCTTATTGTAAGAAATGGAAAGCTTGACATCAATGTTTATGTAAAGAAAAAAACAGTTTTACATTTTTTGATTGACTGAATTTAAACAATATAAAATGTACTTGATTAGCGGACTCTCAAATAACCTTAATTAGGAAATTATTGTTTTTAAATCATGAATGTGTTGCTTGTGTGAGTCCATTTCAAATAGGTAAAGAACTAATAAATGAGACTTACTCACAATCAATTTAATTTAACTATCAGACGACCGGTTTCGCTTTCTACAATATGCAAAGCATCTTCAGTTCTCGATACAAAGTTAAATAAATCATGCCGGTACTCTATTAATTGATGGATGGTAGAACATGGTTGAAACTACTATGTATTGTTGAATGGAGAACTTAATTCTGCTATTGTAGTTGTATGACAGTAAACGGGAAGTTCTTGAGGAGATAGAATGTGACAGATCATTTATTTAATGACTTTACTTTACTTATTGTTTTTAATTTTAAATATGTTATTTATAAAGTCTTTTTGTGTGAAAAATATAAACAATTTAGTAAATTTAACAAATTAAAAAATATTTTCAGATATATTTTAAATACCTCTCATTAGAATTGTCTATTTAGATTATACTTAAATTAGGTATATTTTTATCGTAACTTTATGTTTCTATGAAACCTATTATTTATTAAAAGAATTATTTAAAATAGTTTAACAATAATACCCGTTTGTCGAGATATTTAAACGACTGGTTCATTAGTTAATCACGTCGATAACCATTAAAGAAAATTCAATTTTCATCTACACAGTTTAATACTTCAATAATTATTGCAACAACGAAGAACCTCTTATAAATAACAGAAGTTGGTTATTTTTTTACGCATTATTATGAAGTGGATAATCATACTGCCTGTTTGCATTTTAGCAGTTCTAACACACAACCCTCCAGAGAAAGACTGCGTTGAACCACTTCCACCTCCGTGCCCAACAGAAAAAGAATGTGAGGCCGTGCGTTGTTATTACCCAACGTGTCCACCAGGATTCTACATCAAAAAACTACCATGCTCCTGTTGCTACGAATGCTTACCAAGAGATTGCGAAACCAACTGTTCAGTGTCCCAAGCTGGACTGTATCCGTGGCGAAGTTCTCACCCCGGTGAAATGTAAATGCTGTCCCCAATGCGCACCAGCGCAGTTCGAGCCCCATTGTGATGGCGTTAAATGTGTTAAACCTGTTTGTAAATCGTGGGAGGTAACTGTCAAACCTCGATGTAGATGCTGTCCTATGTGTATGCCACTGATAAGGTAGGACTTTTTAAATTTTTTAATATATGTATATATATATATATATATATATATATATATATATATATATATATATATATATATATATATATAAAGTAGTTAGGTATTATTGACTGACACGTTATGTAAAATAAAGTTTTATTTTGAGGATGCAGTCATTTAAGTAGGGCAGGATAAGTTAAACTCTTTGTTATTAAATCAAGCTTTCGCAAAATTTATTTGCTTCATTAGGATATGCTAAAATATGTTATGGTAAATACAATGAAAATAGAATTAAAAAAACATTGTATAAAACTAATATAAAAACTTACAACATGAGGTTAAACCATTAAATTATTAAATTCACAAAACATATCTTAATTATATTTTTATGAAAGTACAATATTTTAATTTTGAATATATTATGACATTGATTAATAATGATGTTTGATTTATGTCAGAAAGACACTCGTGTCTGTTTTTGTTATTGATAACTAGCTCTAGATTTTTATTATGCTTACGTAAAAAGTGGCGCCAAATATGAATATTTGAATTTTTGAAAATATAGTGTTTATAGTCAGAAAATCATATATTAGAAAATTAAAGTATTAATTTTCGTAAGATAGAATGTAATTATAGATATTGCTTAGTTTGTTAATATCAGTTTTTTTTATAAAAAACTCATCCTCAAAATAAAACTTTATTTTATATATATATATATATATATATATATATATATATATATATATATATATATATATATATATATATATAAAAATTAAAATTGAAAAAGAATTAAATAAAATTCGAAAGCTTGGCAGTAAGTCAAAGAGTTTTCTTTGTCTTGTGGGCCAAATAAACTGACTGCATCCTCAAAAATCATAATTTATATTTAAATCAACAGTCAAGAATACCACCATCTATATATATATATATATATATATATATATATATATATATATATATATATATATATATATATATATATATATATGTATATATATATATATATATATATGTATATATATATATATATATATATGTATATATATATATATATACATATATATATATATATATATATATATATATGTACATAGCAAAAAATATACGACTGTTGATTAAATTTAAAATATATTCAATAGTTGAATAGCAGAGGTTTTATCGGTCAATAATTGGCAAATGAAAGTCGTCAACTACTTCATTGATTTATTAGAATACGTTTCGCTTTTATTTTTAAAAGCATCATCAGTTCACTACAAATAAAAATAAAAAAGATTTTAAAATATAAGTAAACAATTAAAAAGCTTTATACTTACATAAAAAATTTGTAGGTTTTTTTTAGATGTTATAAAAACAACTAAACGAGAGAAACGAAACAAAAAAACACAAGAAAAACTGTAAGAGCACTATTGTTAATTTAATTTTTTTAATTCTGACCGATGGCTTCTCGATTGTTGATGGCTAATCTCTTCGATTGTTTTCTATCAGTTCTAGGATGTCATAATTTACACATGTGGCTTGTGTCGTACATATGTTTTTTAAACAAACAAACAAACAAAAAAGAATAAGAATGAAGTTAATGTCTTGTAAGCGATTTTTTTTATTATTTGTTATGTATGATGAGACAGTGATATATCTGGCTCAAGTCGTCGATGTCGGTTCTCTTATTTAGGGACGATGGATGTTTTAGAATTTGACACATTTCAAGGATAGAACGTTTGTGATAATTTTTTTGTTTGCACAGTATTTTGGTATTTGTGAAGTCGCTACTGTGTTTGGTTGAAATGGCATGTTGTGCAAAGGCCAAAGGAAGGTTTTGAAATCCTAATGTCGCTTTTGTGGGACGTTAGTCGACGTTTTGAAGAGAGCGGCTGATCTGGCCAATGTAGCAGGCCCACAAATCACGAACAAGCTTAACAAACTTTTCAAAAACGTACCTGTCAAAATAGCCTAAAAAAATACTAGAACCGTAAGAAAGTTATTTGCTAAGACAAAAACTCCATTGGCCCCTCTAGAACAAACGAACATCGTCTATCATGTACCCTGTACGGAGTTCAACTCTTGCTACATTGGACAGACTAGCCGCTCTCTTCAAGGTCGACTAACGTCCCACAAAAGCGACATTAGGATTTCAAAACCTTCCTGTGCCCTTGCAGATCATGCCATCAACCAAACACAGTATCAACTTCACGAATACCAAAATACTGTGCAAACAAAAAAATTATCATAAGCGTTCCATCCTTGAAATGTGTCAAATTCTAAAACATCCATCGTCCCTTAATAAGAGAACCAACATCGACAACTTGAGCCAGATATATCACTCTCTCATCATACATAACAAATAAAAAAACCACTTACAAGACAGTAACTTCATTCCCATTGTTTTTGTTTGTTTGTTTGTTTGTTTTTTAAAGAAAAAGAAAAAAATTATTCCTTTTTTAAAAATAGGTCCGTTCCCGTTCCGTTCACTAACTCCCTTAATAATTGTACCTCCCTGCTTTCCAAAGAAACATATGTACGACACAAGCCACATGTGTAAATTATGACATCCTACTACCGATAGAAAACAATCGAAGAGGTTAGTGTGGTTGGATCCTCGAAAGAGCTTTAACTAACATTCAGATGAAGTCATCGGTCAAAATTAAATAAACAATAGTGCTCTTACAGTTTTTCTCGTGTTTTTTGTTTCGTTTCTCTCGTTTAGTTGTTAAGTTTTAATGTTAAGTTATCGTAGAGTTTTTTATAACATCTAAAAAAAAAACCTACAAACTGTTTTTGTAAGTATGAACCCTTTTGGTTGTTTACTTATATTTTAAAATCTTTTTTATTTTTATTTGTAGTGAACTGATAATGCCTTTAAAAATAAAAGCGAAACGTATACTAATAAATCAATGAAGTAGGTGACGACTTTTATTTCCCAATTATTGATCGATAAAACCTCTGCTATTCAAGTATTGAATATATTTGAAATATATGTATATATCTATATATTAAACATAGGAACCACTGAACTACTACTGGACCAGGACCCCTTTCTTAGGGTTACTATACCTACCGATTTATTTTAGTTTTATGGCGCTGGGACTTGCAATCATATTCACTGAGATACGATTCTTTCCTAGGGAAGTGATCATTACGTTTTAGTGTTTTGAACTCAAAAAGTGGAAAATTTGAGTTACTACAGTCTTCGTTGGACTAGTCGAAATGAGGTTCTACATTTTTTTTAAAGATTGACTGAATTTAAACAAATATAAATTGCATCTAATTACCGGACTCGCAAATAACTTAAGTTAACAAATCATTTTTTGTTATCTTAATTTGGTTATTTATAAAAGTTTTTTATTAAAAAAATATATACAATTCAATAAATTTAAAGGATTGAAAAATATTTTCAGATATATTCTAAATACTGCTCATTAAAAAGTGTCAATTTAGATTATAAAAAATAATTCTTATCGGAACTTTATGTTTTTATAAAACATGTTTATTAAAAGAATTATTTAAAATCGTTTACCATTAATAACCGTTTGACGAGATACTTAAACGGCTGGTTCATTAGATAATCAAATTCAATTTTAATCTACACAGTTTAATACTTTATAATTATTTCAACTACGAAGAACCTCTTATAAATAACAAAAGTTGGTTATTTTTTACGCATTATTATGAAGTGGATAATCATACTGCCTGTTTGCATTTTAGGTGTTTTAGCACATAGTCCTCCAAAGAAAGACTGCGTTGAACCACCTCCACCTCCGTGCCCCACAGAAAAAGAATGTGAGAAGGTGCGTTGTTATCAACCAACGTGTCAACCAGGATTCGATGCCAAAAAACCACCATGCTCCTGTTGTTATGAATGCTTACCAAGAGATTGCGAAACCAACTGCGAAGCTGTTCTTTGCCCCAAACTCGACTGTATGCGTGGCGAAGTTCCCACTACGGTGAAATGTAAATGCTGTCCTCAATGCCTACCAGCGCAATTTGAGCCCCATTGTGATGGCGTAAAATGTGTTAATCCTGTTTGTAAATCGTGGCAGCTAACTCTCAAACCTCGATGTAGATGCTGTCCTATTTGTGTGACAACGATAAGGTAAGAATGTAACTTCTTTCAATATAAATATAAATATATGATTTTGAATTTCTGACCTTTTGTTTAAATTATTATCACTTTTGCTAATACAAACCATTTCCAAAAAAGTTCTTTTAAATTTATTACTTTTACTACATAAAATTTTAATATTATCAAAATCCACAATATGGTCTTTGTCTATTACATGCTCTGCCAAAGCACAAGATGGTTTCTTAATTCTGCAATTACTTTTGTGAGAAATAATGCGATTTGAGAGATTTCTTCCAGTCTCACCAACATACTCAGCTTCACACTGAGTAAAACTAATGCTGTATACTACATTAGTTTGATCTAATTTGTCTACAGGATATTTAGTTTTGTATTTTGTTGCTATTTTTATATTTCAGTTCCACGTTGTTCTCCGAGTGCAGAGGTTCCCTCTCACCGGCTCTGGAACCCAATTGAGCCATGTGTTACCTATAGTCAAATTTAATTTAATACTGAACATCACAGTTATTTTATAACACAATGTACAACATTTCATAACTAAATGTAATTTAAAGGGTTTTTACCCTAATATTTTGGTGGCTCAGGCATTGTGACCTAGCGTTTTCGATTTTAATAACCTGATGATGGACTGTGTGGTCCGAAAACGTTTGTTTTATTGATCTGGCCCTTTAAGGGTTTTTTAAATAAATATACCCATTTACAAAGATTAACCTCTTTTTGTTATACGTGGTATACAGCCAGCTACAGGAATTTTTCCTTGTGGATTTTATTTTTATATTGTCAATAACCTTTAGTGTCTGTATTAATTTAGGAGTTAATGATGGCATAAAAGGTAGTGAATGATAATATATATTCTGATTGTTGGATACAGTGTTTTGAGATTTAGCAAAAAATGGTGTTAAATTATTTATATTTAATAAATTAGAAAAAAGCATCCTATGTAGCATATCTGGGGTATAAGAGTTTTCAACTAAAATAGTTTTTAACAATTGAAGATCTTCTTGTAGATAGTCTGGATGAGAAAGTTTTAAAACACGTTCCTTTAATCCTGTTATAAGGTTCATTTTCATCTTATTTGGATGATGAGAGCAATAGCTTATAAATCTATTACTACAATATGGTCTTTCTGAACCATCTGGTTTTCAACATATTGTCTGTATTTCTTATAATTCTCGTGTCAAGGAATGGTAGATAATTATCTACCTTTTCCTCAACTGTAAATTGTATATGTTGATTATGATTGTTGAAAATAAAATACTTCCTAAACACAACATTCTTAAAACAGTCAACATAAAATTCTGATCGGCCAGATCAGCAGTTCGATACAAAAAAATGGATTCATAGGTATGCAGCTGAATTAATAAAGCCAAGAGTACTCTTCTTTTTAGTAATCAAACATATTTCGGTTTGCTTTATACCCCCATTAGTGATAGCTAAAAAGTTTATTATGAGTTACATTATACGTCATAAGCAAAAATTTTACTTAGAAATTTGAGATTGCGTCCATGGAATCAATAAGATAAAAACATTATCACAGGACACTTTAAAAAAACGTTATATTATTATATTAGAAAGCAATAAGGCTTTTAAAGTTTCTAATATAATAAAATAAGTTTTCTAAAGTGTTCTGTGGCAATGCTATTGTTTTTCATTCCTTAAACCAATGTTTGTTTTTTAAAAAAGAAATTGTAACTCCACTTAACATGTTTGTTTTTTTGGAGAATTTCTTTAACAAACCATTTTAATTTAATTGCCGCAATCTCAAATTTGAAAGTTAGAGGGCCAGGGACTCTACTCTTAGGATTACCATATCTTAACCGATTTATTTCAATTCTATGGCGCTGAAAACTCGCTATCACTCCCTTCCGTTAGCTGCATAGCGTACACCCATTGCACGCCAAACATTGCCCAGCGAGCATGTCTGAGTTTTAGCACAGCAAAGGTCGGCAATCTTTGTTATCATTAAGACCCAAACCACAACCATTTGACCTCCATCAAATGTTTCTGCGAATGAAATTCAAAATAAAGTAAATTTAGTCAATCAAGCATATCTTAAAATGTGTTTTGGACTCATAAAAAAGTATTAGAAGTAGTAGACAAATGTGGTTTTTAAATAGTTTATAAGGAAAAACGAAATGTTATGCTAATGTTATTCTAAGACAATTTATTTTATATATCTTTCTTGTTTCAGATGATAATATGATAATGATGACCATTATAATGATGACGACCAGAAGGAGTATCTTAAATCATATTTCAAATATATTTTCGAATCTCCATTGTAAATATCAATTTTCTGTCATTCCTCGTATATATATATTGATAATTATTGTAGACTCAATTTAAATACAAAATAATGGATTATTAAAAAGTTGTTTTATTGCAAGTAAAGCAGCTAGATCAGATGTTATTTAAAAGAATTTTAACTATCGGGAAACCAGCATTTTATTAGATATAATAATATTTTAAATAGAGATGGCTTCTTCTTTTTCTTAGGGTGCATTACATTTCTGTTTAGGTGTCTACGGTTGACTATCTTGTCAAGTCCCTAACACCAGTTTAGTTAAGTCTAAAGCTAAAGGCTAATTTAAAAATTAATGGGAAAATCCCAGTAGCAGTAGAAAATCCAAAATTTATAGATACGTAACGTTTTAGATCTAGCTCAGATCATCCTTATTGACTTTTTTTGGTAATTGTAGCTAACACTAAAATTGTAGCAGTGAAGACATCAATATATGGTTTTACATATTTAAATTTAAATTATAATAAAATATTAACATTTACAACCATTGTCATCGACTTAGTGTAGCATTATAATATAAATTTAAACATTTAAACCATATATTAATGTCTCCACTGCAATTTTAGTGTTAGTTACAAGTACCAAAAGTAAGCGCTGAGGATGATCTGAGCTAGATCGAAAACGTTATGTATCTATAAATTTTGGAGGACACTTTTAAAAAGTTTTAATTAAATGTTTTCATACCAATATACAAATTTTGAAGTTTTTTACTTTTTTGTAAGTTTTTTTAAGGCTAATTATTAACACGCATAAGCATATTTTGTTACTACCGATTAATAAAGAACAAAATAAGGCTGAGTAGCCGAAATTCTATGATATCTTAAGAGTGTTAGCCAGTTATTATCAGACGTGGTTTGCTCTGTATAGTTTCACAACTCTTATTTAAAAATGTCGAGACCACATCCAAACCCATCCCGCTCAGACTGTTTCTGCGCATAACGTTGCCGCGCATACTGAGAGTATAAATACAAGTTAGAAGAGAAGGCAGATTGAGACATTGTAGTTGCCAGAAACCTAGGACTACAAACAGAATTATAAACATTAAACGAATTAACAAAGGAACACAACCCTATCCTATTAGAACTAGGAACGTGGGAAGAAGAAAGTACAATCAAAAGAATAATAAAGAAAACAAAGTGGACGAACTTCAAAAGACTCGTGAGCACAGGAATAAACATAGCTTTAGTGATAGACAACCTACGAGAACTAGAAGACAGAGTCCTAGAATTGGAAAACATCATCCAACAAGCACTCTGTAACAGCATCATCAGAGACATGGAGGAACAAGACCTAAATATGCAAAATATTTGGAGATTCCAAAGAATACTTAGAAATGACAGAAAGCCAATCCATTCACTACACGGAAAAAATGGATTAGTGTATTCTATAGAGAAAAAAGCAAAAGTAACGGGGAATACTCTCGAAAGAGAGAGTGTACACTAAATTATCCTATATACTATATAAAGCCTATTTTCTTTGCCTCTCTATCTAGCCTCTTTACTACTTCTTGTAGCTCCTATTTGCTTCGTGCCAGATTTACTACATCGTCAGCTAAGGCTAGACATTGGTGCGTTCTTTGGTATAACAATCCCTCTCTGTTGACATTTGCATCTTGTATGACCTTCTCCAAACACAAGCTGAATAGGTATTTAATCAATATATTTATTGTATAGTAAAATGTCAAACAATACTTTATATGATCTGTGTTGTCATTAAAAGTTTTAGGTGATCCTAACAGTTCGAAGCAAAATAATTAAAAATACCAGAAAAATGTGTCGCTGGATTTTTTTAAAAATGTCTGGTTAAGTTTCTGATATCGCTTCTGTTTGGTTTTCTTTCGGTCACCATGTATATTCAGTCTTAATGCATTTGTTTGTCCATCGTAATAATATTCTGTCCGCTTCGGGCATTAAAATTTACCATAGTTTTACTCTAATTCACCCGCTTGGTCCTATTCCTTATAAGAATATTTTTTTAGGTACCCTCTTCTGTTACGAGGTTGATAATCATCACGGTTGTTTCTAGTTTTAGAATGCAGCAATAAATCAACAGACCTGCATTTATATCACCCCCCAAATTATTTAACTAGGATATGTACCTTCTTCCGATATTTCTCTTTCGTTATATGTAACCCTGTATTATCATCTGTAATAAAAAAATTATTGGTGAATATTAGGATCTGTCAAATTAGTTTACTTTGCAAATTACGCGACGAGCATGCTTTGTAGATACGATATCTTGTTACCTGCCTTCTTAATATTGCAACTTTTATACATAGAATAATAAAATGTGATATACAATTATATATTTACTCATTTAAAGGAAAAGATAATAGAGCTTTAGGGCTATCTGAAGTGACGATTACACGTGGGGTACATCGTCGAACGTGATTTTGTGACCAAATCTCTACTCTGCAAAATTAGTATAAAATGCCATGTAAAAAATACTTTAAATTATTTGTGATAGTATTTCAAAAAGCCAAAATGAAGTTATTGTTACTTTTCGTTATTTATTTTGGTGCTGTTCTAGCAAAAGATTATCATAGTCACAGACACGAGGAACCATGTCCAGAATGTGATAAATGTTCAGAACCTCATTATGTTCCTGGCAAAAGGTGTCCAGACTGTGTTAAAATACCATGTGTCGAAGTTTTTTGTGTATTTTGTGACGAAAGAAAGTTAGATCATTGTGGATGCCCCAAATGTGTGCCTAAGAAATGTCCCGAGTGTGGACCTTGCGAAAAGAAATCCCAAGAACTTGATGTATGTCATTGTCATAAATGTATTCCTAAAGATTGTCCTATTTGCGGACCATGCGAAGTTGACACCGGCTGCGTAGATGAATGTGACTGTGCAATATATGAGCCACTTGAGTGTCCTTGTTGTGGACCTTGTGAACAAGAGACAGGCTGGTATGATAATTGTGGCTGTCCTATTTGTGAGACCATCCCATGTCCTTCTTGTGACCCCTGTGAAGTTCCAAGTGGCTGTGTAGATGACTGTGGCTGCGAAATATATCGTCAAAAAGAATGTCCCAGCTGTGAACCATGCGGTACAGAAACAGGTTGTGTAGACGGTTGTGGCTGCCCTATATTTTATCCAATAGAATGTCCTCCTTGTGGACCTTGTGATGTTCCCACAAACTGTACCGATGAATGTGGTTGTATTATCTATGAACCAAAGGAATGTTGTCCACCCGACTACTGCGAATTAGAAACCGGATGTTTCGATGAATGCGGATGTCCCATTTATGAACCTTTGGAGTGTCCCTGGTTTGGACCATGTGATATCGATAGTGGCTGTGTAGATGAATGCGGATGCTCAATATTTGAACCAAAGCCATGCCCTCTTTGCGGTGTTTGTGAAGAACCTACAGGCTCTATTGACGAATGTGGTTGTCCCGTATACCGCCACAAATTATGTCCTCCTGCTGGACCTTGCCAAGTAGCAACAGATCGCACTGATATGTGTGGATGTACAATATACAAACATAAGGAATGTCCACTGTGTGGTCCTTGCGATGAAGACACTGGCTGTATTGATTCATGCGGCTGTTCTATATACGAACCAAAGGAATGCCCTTCGTGTAACATATGTGAAATCGATACTGGATGTTTTGACGATTGCGGCTGCCCAATATACGTACCTAAGGATTGTCCTTCATGTAAACCCTGTGAGGTTGAAACAGGTTGCTATGACGAATGTGGATGCCCCATATATGAACCCATCGAGTGTCCTTCTTTTAATGATTGTGAGGAACCCACGGGGTGTTATGATGACTGCGGATGCCCAATATTTGTATACAAAGAGTGTCCACCCTGTGGACCTTGCGAAGTCGACTCAGGTAATATAGATGAGTGTGGATGTATCAAATACGAGCCCATCACGTGTCCAGATTGTGGACCTTGCGAAGTACCAACAGATTGTGTAGATGAATGTGGCTGCACAATTTATGAACCAAAAGACTGTCCCGAATGTGGACCGTGTGAAGTTTCTGCCCATTCCTATGATATATGCGGATGCGAAATATTTAAGCATAAGGAATGTCCTTTATACAAATGTCCAGAAGGACAAAAACTTAAAGTGTGTCCAGGAGAATGCTGCCCTATATGTAGGCCATTAAATTATAAATGTTAATTATTTAAAAAAAATGTTGTCTTATTTTATTTAATAAATAATATTTTATTAATTCTTACTTTAACTTATTAACTGCTTTTTGTAAAATTTAACATACACACAATAAAGCGTTGTATATATATATATATATATATATAATATATATATATATATATATATATATATATACAGGCAACTGAAGGCCTTCGTCTTCTTCTTATTTGTTGTGGTATGTAAATTAAAGCTTTTTTGGCCGTCTGTCTTCATTCATTCGCTGTACGTGACCATATTACACTAGTTGTCTGATTTCAATTCTGTCTTCACTGGAATATACAGTATTTGTCCTCCTTCTAATAACTTTATTTCTGATATGATCTTTTTTGGATACACCACACGCTCTCTTTGGAAAATCCATTCCTACTACTTCTATCTTTTTTCGTGATCTGCCAAACTTCTGTCTAATAACTCATAATAGGCTCTACTAAGGTTCGATAGATTGTCAATTTCGTTTCCTGTCGTAATATCTTTAGACTATAGTAAAGAGTTTAGAATGTTTACCGCTTTTTTCTGTCTGTTTTAGTAATGCCTTCTTTAGATATTATAGATCCGAGATATTTATATTCATTGCATGTTTTTGTGTTTCTAATTTCTAACTCTGGATTTTCTTCATCATCTCCTATTTTAAGATACTCTGTCTTTGATATATTCATATTGACGACCCATTTTTTATATTCTTTCTTTAGTTTTTTAAACATGCAGTCCATGTCTTGCTTATCATTAGCTACGACTACCTAATAAACGCCGTATAATAAACAATATCTATTACGAACAAACTGCAGCTGTTAGAGTTGGGGATCAGTTACCAGACGACATAAAATTAAAAAGAGGTGTGCGACAGAAATGTATATTGTCCCCATGATTGTTCAATATATATTCAGAGACTATTATGAACCTAGCGCTAACGGACATCGACGAGGGAATACTTATAAACGAAGAACGATTGAACAATATTAGATACGCTGATGATACTGTCATTTTTGCAGACAGTCTTAAAGGTCTGCAGACACTTGTCTCCATAGTGGCAGATGTAAGTAGCAGATTTGGGCTTAATTTTAACAAATACATGGTTATAAGTAAAAATAGAATACCACCTGGTCAATTACTAGTTAACCAACAACCTATAACACAAATCACCAATTTTTGTTATCTGGGTGCAAACTTAAATGAACAGTGAGACCAATCGACGGAAATTAAGATGAGGATCGAGAAGGCAAGATTAGCTTTTATCAAAATGAAAAAAATCTTTAACAGCCGCGATATAAAATTTAAAAAATAAGAGTTCGTTTAACAAAATGCTACGTATTCTTCGTTCTTTTATATGACGTGGAGTAATGGACCTTAACTGAAGCATTACTAAAGAGACTAAAAGCATTTGGGATGTGGTGTTATAGATGCATGTTAAGGATTTCCTGGATAGACAGAGTTACCAACGAAAAAATACTACATAGAATGGGTAAAGAGCGCAAACTAGTCGTAACCAGAAAACGTCACAAACTGGAATACCTGGACCATATAATGCGCAATAAACAACGATATGACCTACTTCGGACTATACTTCAAGGTAAAGTACACGGGAAAAATTCTTGTAGACGAACTAACGTGCATTATGAAACCATACGATTCGAATATGTTGACCAAGGATAATTGGGTAGCACAAGCAACAAAGCAATTAATATTCAAGTCACCGCATAGAATCTTTTTGCTTTTACTGGACAGGTCGCCTAATAAATTTAACAGGTTTTGAAAAATAGTTTCTTAAAAGAATCAGGTAATCTATAAATGCAAAGAATGTATAGGCTAAGATTTTTGTTATAAACCAATGAAATCTCAAAAAAATATTCGTTCAACAGAAAGTCATATTTTGATATAGGAGAAAAATCATTATTTGTAGAAATAATTACAGTGCCACCATGAGCTGAACTTGGACGATCATACCTAGCAATTAAGATAATTTTCCACAAAAAAGGCTGGTTCACTTCAAGCCAGTAGCCAGAGTAAACTATCAGGGGAAATCCTAATTCCCCTAAAAACAAAAATAATTTATCTATAAGTGAATAAAATTTTAACAGTGACAGAAGAACAAGAAGGTGTTAGGTCGGGAAGATCATGATGCACCGACGCTATATTTATAATAAGACAAGTGCAAGAAAAATCTTTGGAAAACAACAAACCGGCATATCTATGTCTCGTGGATTGTAAGAAGGTATTTGAACGGGTTAAATTAAAGAACGTTATCCACTTCTTGTACACAAAAGGAAAAACCTCTAGGAATAATCAAAACGATCGAAAATATCTACCAAAATAACACAATAAAAGTAAAAGTAGAAGAAGAAGTAACCGATCCTATTGATGCTATCAATGGGATTAGACAGGGAGATTCTTTAAGTCCTTTAATGTTTGACAAGACTATGGACGAAATAATAAAATAAGTAACAACTAAAAAAGGATGTCAATAAAGCTCGACACTGAACTGGAACATCAAGTGAACAGAGGAAACAGAGCTGCAGGTTGCCCAAATTAAATAATATGGAGAAACAAAAATATCGGTCAAGAAATGAAATTAAGAATTTACAAAACAGTCATTAGGACAATTATATCATATGCGGCAAAAACACGACCTGACACAGAGAAGACAAAAAGGATATTAGAAACAGCAAAGATGAAAACACTTGGAAAATTGATGGTAAGACACTATGGGATAGAGCTAGAAGTACAGATATACGACGTAGATGCAAGGTGGCGAACACCAAGAACTGGTTAACAAATAGAAGAGTAGAATCTATAAGCCAAATGGCAACAAATAGAGTAGTGAAGACCACGAAAACGGTAGAACGACAACTTACTGAAGGCACATTGCAAAACCGAAGTCATGTCTACATAAAAAGAAGAAAAGATATAATTATATATATATATATATATATATATATATATATATATATATATATCATATATGTAATACAAATTTTCATATTTTTCAACCACGAGCAAATAAATTTTGAACACCCTATATAAGACAAATTTTGTAAAAATAGTTATAACTAGTTTTTAAGAAAGTGATTCTCGGAGTTGTCTACTAACCACAAGAACAATGCATTCCAAATAGGTTATTAGGGAGCTGGAGGAAGAAAGTGGATTTCAAACGGTTTATCAAAACCAACGACAGTGGGTAATTTTACTTATACTACTAATAGAAGAATAGGTTATTAAAAAAAAAAGTATTAACCTAGACACTGATGATGGAATATGGATTCCGAAAACGTTTTGTCTGTCTAACTTAGCCCGTTTGGGTCCTTAAATATATACCTTTTACAAAGGATTTTTAATAAATTTTTTTAATATATGGTATACAGCCAACTACAGGAACGTAGATTCCTTGTGGATTAATATGTTATTTAGTTTTTCAAGAAATGCGGATATTGGGTACATTATAGATAGTTAAAATATACCTGTGTATTACGATTTGTAAAGATAGATTAAAATATGATTAGTGTAGAAAATAGAATTATAATATTTGGAATATTATTTTTTTTGGAAATCCATTACGGCGTGTTTAAGAAAGAGAAAATAGTTTTGTGGAAAATACGTCTTGACTAAAATTTGTTTTGATTGGTTGTAAAATTAACTCATTAGGGGGAATGATTTTGGAAGGATGAAATGAATGAGTAAGGGAGGCAGTCTGTTTGGTTGGATCGAAAGGGAGAGTCCAGTTTGTGAGTGTATTGTACAAAAAAAAATGGCCGGTTGGTTTGTCAAAAGTGTTTAAGTATCATATCGTTGAAACGAGGAATTAGGCCAATTCGAGAGAAGACATAACTCATTGAGTCTAAAGTATCCAGTAATTTTAAGTGTTCCATTTTAAAGGGAGAATACTGCATCAGGAGAAAGCCGGAACGAGTACTGTACGAGGCAGAGCAAGGGAAATGAGAACGAGATTGTAAAGGAGCAGCAACATTTTTGGGAAATGTAGACAAGTTTCTTTGGATCGCAACATCAGCAAATAAGGAGAGGTGTTTGTCTGAAGACAATGGCTAATCACCAGCGAAGGTCAGCTTAATTTTGTTATGACATAAATGTATGATTTGCGTATTAAATACCACAGTGCATATTGAACTACACATTTCACTATTATAAAATCATTAACCTCAAGAAAATTTGTTACTTAGACAACATTACAGTTTCTTTTTTAAGACAATATTGATAAAATAAAATTTTAATATCAAACAAAATTTGGAGACAAAAGAAAATAAGATTCCTAGTTTCGTATTGTCATATAAAAATAAAGATAAAAGAATAAATAATAAACTTTACAATATTAAACATTTATTGCAGTTTGATAAAATAAATGACTTTTATAATTTAGAATTGAAATTCCTGTGTATATTATTTTATTCATTTTTTCCTATCCTTATTAGGAAACCACTGAGAAATATTTTGAAGCCACGAAAGAAAGTAAGTATTGATGATTTAGCCTTAAGATATGTAATTTATTTTTGTTTGATTTGTTTTGGAGTACGGCCCTGCAAGTGACAACAGTAGGTTCATTTAATTTCGCTTCGTAATAAACTTAAAATTACTGGGGAATTACAAGTTAGAAAATTCAACCGGGTTCAAAAATAAGTGTTAAAAGTTAAGTGCATACAGGTGATAGTAGTTAATAAAGAAAATACCATCAGACAAGTAAGATAGAACTATTTTAATAATTTTAACAAGTCTTAAGTAAATGAATAATTATTGTGTGACAGATTAAAAAAGCGGTTTTGGCGAATCTTTTAAGTCCGAGGGGTCGTCCTGCTTAGACATTTCTACGCGTTTTTTGTTTTTTGGTTTTTTTGGCAGATAAGAAAGTAATTAGTGCTGACAAAAAATTAAATATCAAAATAAAAGGCACATAATTTTATTACAAAAATCCAGATCTGGCCTTAAAATAGATTAGATTAAAGTTGGGATTAGATTTAAATTTA